CTGTAAAGATACTACCAAAAACCAAAGTCCTAATGAGAACGTCATGCAGTTTTTCGACAAGGCCATAACAAGATGGTTTTCGAAGAAGAAGAAGAAGTAAAACAACAGTTGTGTACGATAAAGTAGCGAAGTAAATAGGAAGTAGGTTTCCTTTAAAAAATACATTGCACTCAATATTCTTACTGATTATGGCTTTCCTACTGAAAATTGTTGTGTTCAACTTTACAAGAAAGGGCAACCTTTACTAGTGAATAGAGATGCCTATGAGCAAATGTCTCATTTGAAAATATAGCAATCAAAAAAGCAATCAATAAATAATCAACAATTCATGTACTCAAAAAATAACTAAATGATGAAATGATGCAACTGGAGCTAGGGATGACATTGTTACGGTCAACATTATGAGTGACAATATAATCTCACTAATACAATGCCTCAATAAGATGCTAAACCTGTATATGAAGAAAGTTACCTAACACTTTGCCAGTAGTTATTCTTAGCCCTATCACTACCGCCGCCAGCTTCGTGTATCTGGCGCGCCGTACTGTGTTGTTGAAGTACAATCGAAACGCACATTGATAGCAATATGCACTGTCTGCGGGCCCTCTCATGGGGCACAGCCCACGCCCACAGTTTTCTTGAGATTATTGTTCTACTGTTTTTCTTCCTCACATATTTTTCGTGTCTCTCCAACTTCTAGCTACCCGGTATGATATTCTGCTCTTGCTCCTATGTTCTTTGACCATATCTAACTCTTACGTATGGTGAAAGGAAAGTCGCCGATCATCCACCAATAGTGATATGAACATTTAACAGATTTGTTTAATGCAGCCACTAACTGAATCCTCTTCTCTGCCTTTTTCTCAATCAATTTTTTACTCTACCTCTGCTATCAGAAACCACCCGTCAATGGGAATTATGTTCGGGGATAAATCGGCACTGAACCCAGTTAAGCTGACGCTGTAGACCAGAGCACAATGTTTTAACTTTTCTGTCTGTCGTATTTGTTTTTTTAGAGGAATCATGTTAGGAAAACGCGTCGGTTGGTGCAGTGGACACCACGTAAGCCCGTGAACCCTCGGTGCAGGTTCGAAGAGCTCCCTAGATTTTTTCCGACTATTGCTCATATCTCAGAATCTTTAGAGTAGTATCTCACGTAATACTCCGCCGTAGAAAAAAAAGTTTTGTAAGTTGTAGAAGGAATGCCACAATGCTTGCTTTATGGGTTTAGTATCCTCCCTTTCAGTGCTATACCCATGATTCATCACAGCGAATGGAAATGAAATACGAGGTTTGTACATATGAAATGGCCGATTTTATTGTGTTAAATTTTCATGTAATTTTTAATAACTATTTTTAAAGCACAAAGCTTGCTCCTTCTACATCCAATGTTCGTTTTTTGAGATTTATTATTTTAACATTTTTATAGGCTTTAACTTTAGTATGAATCAACCTGATATGTGTGTCGCCTCTTTGTACGAGTGGAAGAGTGGCCATAATGCCCCAGCAGGAGTTCCATCATCAAGTTTGGGGTGAAGACAGTGTTGGTGGATCAAGAGTGCAAGCATAACCACAATATTGCTGAGATATTTGCAAGACTCTGGACCGCAGGTGTGTGCGGTGGGGAACGAGCGCGCTATTGTCCTTTCCGGGGAGTAACACGTTCACCACCACATCATGTGGGTCCTTCGTTTTACCTGTCTCTCAGCTAGTTCTATCGATCTCTTGCCATCAGCAATCACACGTCAGCGGAATTGATCTGGAGAACCCAAATCGCCAATGACCCCAGTATTGTAGCAGGCAATAAATTGAAAAACTGACGCTATGGTGATTGTTTGGTGATCTGCAGTCAGGCTGATTCATCAGAGATTTTTGAATCCGGGTGAAGCGATTACGGCAGAGAAGTATTCCAAGCAAGTCAATTATATGCCCCGTAAACTCTGGCAACAACAACCGGCGTTAGTCAATAGAAAAGGATCAACCCTTCTCCACGACAATCCCGGCCTCACAATGCAGAACGAGTGCTGCAGAAGTTGAACGAGTCGGACTACGAAACTTTGCCTCATCCCGCATCTTCACCAGATCTGTCGCCTCACTTCTTCGAGCACGTTGACAACTTCCTGGGCGAGAAATGCTTCACCAACAACGATGACGTAAAATGCTTTCAACGAGTTCATCGGTTCCAAAGCTCCAGGATTTTGCGCAACTGGAACAGTTAAACTTCCTTCTCGTTGGCAAAAATGTACAGATTCAAATAGTTTTCATTTTGATTAATAAAGTTTTGCATAAAGCAAGTTATGATGTATGCATATATGTAGATTGATATAGATATATATTACCTCGTTCGGAAATAAATGAGCGTTTTTAACTACATTATTTATGACGTCATAACTTGCTTCATACATGCATATATATATATATATATATATATGCCTTTCAGCAAAAATGTGATAGTCTGCCATACTAATGGCCATAAAAAGATGTATGCATACATGTATATGTAGTAGAAAGCTCAGCTGTAAACTACTTCCATGCCTTATTCTGTTCAAATAAAAAGGTAAACGGCACAACACACAGTAATAGAGAAATATATTAGGTTAGCACTAATTGTGAAATTATAATACTTGATAGTGCACGGCATTTTAACAACACCGGCGAATAAAGGTAAATTGTAATGCGAAAAGTTGAAATAAATGACTTTCTTGACTGCGGATACAGAGAAACGAATCGGAAGAAAGAACTGTTGGGACTTGCAGAGTATATGTGAAAAAGGGGTTGTGTAAATGGCGCCAAACAATAAGGGGAATTAAAAACTGACGCCTCACGAATCTCCATTACATGGGGAATCTCAAGCCGGTTAGTCGTGTTGTTACGTATCGCGTCCCCACGTGGCACATGATGGTTAATTGCGGGCCAAAAGCGACCATTGCTTTTGGAGACGCTAGTGGATCCACGGGATGGAGTTCCTATTTCTGCTGCGCCGATTTGGTACAGACTTTCTGCATTTACGAGCAGTATTCATGCATACGTGTGTGATTGCGTTTTCTTTTATGTGGATTGTATGCTACGAGTTAATTTGGCCAAAAGCCTTCAAGCGAACGAAAAGGGAGCACATGGGAAGTGGTTAAAAGTCGCCTCCAACCAATAAGTTTCCTGATCACTTTGGGAGAGGCTGGCAAACTGCTTGCGAGTATACCCAGCTGCCCTGTCTAGAGCTCAGCAAGGTATACGTGGCAATAAGAAGCCAAACACAGTAAAAGAAACGGACCTTATTCTCCTAGACCGGAAAAAGCCCCAATTCGGCAGCGTTGGGAAGGACGAGTACGGAGGAAGAACTGAAGTGAAGAATGCAGACTTGGTAATGCAAGCAGGATAAGGTACGACGTCATCGGCCTGGCTGAAATGAGAAGAAGCCACCCATCTTGAGCCGTCAATGACAACGGAGAAGAGCTGTTAATTAGAATATCTATGTGTGTGCTTTTACGATTTATTATCTGATGCGAGGTTAGCTTAGATGATCATATTGTTGTTGTTGTCAGTGTTCAGTGGCTGACGTTTCGGTGACTTAGCCTTCCTCAGAGCCATGCCGTCGGCCTAGTCGTGCGTTGTTTCCCGGAAGCGTTTTTTGTACCCAGAACAGGCGACAGTACGGTATTCGGCGCCGACGGCATTCTTGTCAACACGAGTCTCTCCATGAATATCGATCCATTTGGACAACCACCTATCCACTCGAACGTCCACGATTGAAGAGATGTGGATCAGAACCGGCGTTGAGAATCTTTGTTCCCTATGCTCCGGCATTAACCGATACCGAAGAGATGTTCTATAATGATTTGACGAGGTTCTGCAGAGAAAACCGTACATTCTTGGAGCTCATCACTGAGGATTTTAACTGTAAAATTGGACCCAGATAAATGTCTGAAGAAAGGCTTATCGGGATCCACGGATTAGAATGGAATGACTGGGAGCGGCTGTCTGAGTTTATAATGGCCACCACTATCCATTCATGGTAATTCGCAATTCCATGAGCTATCGCCACCCTCAACGCTGGACGTGGGAGTCTCCCAGTGGAGAGTATTATAACGAAATAAACGAAATCATTGTAAATCGAAGGTTTTGTCTTGCCGATGTCACTGTTCTCCCAAAATTCTACACGGTATCAAACCATCTCCTCCTTCGTGCAAGTTTCTATTTCTCGCGGAAAGTAGAAAAAGCCGCCAAATTCAAACAGCGAAATTCCAAAACCACCATAAACTGAAACTTAATCAATTCATTAGTCGGTTGCTGGGAATATGCAGTTGTCGATAACATCAACGAAGAATACGACCGGCTCATTCAATATCTTCACATTAGCACTATGAAAGCTGAGAGTTCAAAAATCACCAAGAAACGTCTGTCTCCAAAAACAGTCGAGCTAATTCTCCAACGTAGAGCAGTGCGAGATATAGACAACCGCCAACTCGCGTACGAGCATGCAGAACAATGCAGACCAGCGATAAAAGAAGATCTTAAAGAGAGAAGAGCAGTAGTGATGGTCGAGGGTGCAGAGGCTGGGAAAAGCATTCGTAAAGCCCACCGAAGCTTCACGAATCACAAGACCAAGATGATTGTTCTCCGGCGCCCAGACGGAACATTTACGGCGTCCAGAAAGGCAATGCAGAAAACCATTCACGAATACTACTCAGATCTCTTCGAAAACCACGTCCCGTCTTACGAAATAAAGGAGGATGGATATGTTGTACCATAGGTTCTCCCTTCCGAAATCCGACATGCCATTTCGTCGGTGGAAAATCGAACAGCTCCAGGTCCGGACAGCATAAGATCTAAACTCCTGTAAGAACTAAACTCCTGAGCATAAGATCTCCTCTCTTACTTCCACCGATTTAAAGAAGACCTTTGACTCAGCTGAGATAGAAGCAGTCATGAAAACCCTGGTCGGTCAGGGAATCTCTACTCACTATATAAAAATTCCTCGTCAGATAAGGTGAGCCAAAGACGTAATGTGTATAAACAGCAACCGCTGGGCAAGAGCAGTTAGTGATTGGATTCCTTGGGATCGCAAGCGTACTGCAGGAAGATCACCAACTGGATCGTCAGAGTTCTTGACGAAAGGCCTAGGAAAAAGATATGAAGTTGAGCGAGTTCCTGAAGCGAGCAAAGCCTACTGGGCTACTCCTGCAGCGATAGGTAAAAAATGGAAGAATTACTGGAGCCCGCTCGATTTATTCGACGATCAACGTGATTACACGTGATACAGGTGACAGGTGGAAAATTGGTGAGAGCAACGCAAACGCTTAATAAAATTTGAGTCATTTCCATTTATGGCAGAAGGGAAGTATATGTATCGAAATTAAATTGAAATGCAGAAGGAAAGGAGAAAGGAACGACAGAGAAAGAATGAAAGAAAGGGTACAAATACTGATCCAAAAAATGGAGAAAAATACCAAAGAAAGCAGCTGAAGGAAGTTGACCGACTTGTGGTTATTTCCTTCTCATTTATGAATATGTGTTACTGACAAGTAGTAAAAAAGGCGGTGCTTTGAACAATTAAGGAATGAGAGACGCATAACGTAAACATCGTGGCCATTTGAAACAAGTGGCTCGTTGTTCTGTTGATATGGCGACAATCAATAATCATGTGTTAAAATTCACTTGTGACTTACAGTAATAGACATAATAATGACTACTGCGAAGAGCATTTTGGGTGTAACATAATTCATGACGATGACTGATTAGTTTTCTTTAGTGCACTTGTAATGCTCAAAAGCAACCAAAAAAAGGCCTCGCTTTACAGTTATCAAAACTTGGAAAGACTTGGAGGCGGTTTTTTTATATAATCGCTTGTCTAGTTCGCATTGTCCAAACAGGGGCAAGTTGGTATAGCTGGTATGACAGTTTTATGGTATACTTTGCTACTGAGGACTTCTCAATTTCGCTTGTGGAAATGTACTCTGAGTAGAAATTGTGCAAGCATTACAATCGTTTAAAAAAAGAAAGCAATTTTTTAGATATTGAAAAAAGAGTTTTATTTGAAGATACAGAGATTCAAGCGCATTAATGTTATACACTGTGCATTTTTTTTTCAACACATGTGTGGCCGAGAGCGATTTAGATTTTCAGCCGTAAGAAGGCAAATACGTTTGAGGACAAGATCTGGTAGGGTTTCACTTTTATACACTCGATAGACAACTTTTGTTATTCAGTCATATGAACCTGAATAAAACCGAAAATAGTAGAGGCAGTCACGCGGTGAACAACTGTGGAGTCCCAAACATAGAAACTGATGCATGCTCCTCCCAGTAAAACCTTCAAATAAAAGAAGAACAATCACATATCTGTTTTAATTCAGCCACCTGTTTCTTCATTGGACCATTACTTCAGATTTAGGCGCTTATAATCGCAAGCATTACTATCTATGCAAAAAGACAAAATGAGTGTTGTTCCGACATTTTGTGGTAGATTTGATAGATATAATAGACCTGGGAACTGTCCCCTGATCTATGTGGTCGAGGAGTTACCGTATTCATGTAGGGAGGAAAGTCACGTACATGAAGTTTCAATTCACAATGATAACTTTCTATTTGCTGCCTACTATAATTTTTCATGGAAGGGTATAATGCAAAACTCAGCCACTATAATGTATATTTTATGTACTATATATATATGTATATATTGTACCCTGCCGTGAAAAGTTGTAATAGGCAGTAAATAAAAAGTTAGCATTGTTATTTCAACAACACCCTCAGCTTAACTGGGTTCATTGCTTATTTGGGCTTCCCAGATCAAGCCGGCACGGATGATTGCTGTTTGCACTATTCGACAGAACTAGCTGAGAGACAGGCGAAGCGAAAGACCCGCATGGCGTGGTGGTGAACGCGTTATTGCCCGGAAAAAGTAACCTGGCGCTCGTTCCTCACCACAGATACCTATGGTCCGGAGATTTGTAAATATCTCAGCGTCACAGATTTCAGATCTCAGTAAGAATTATGCCTTTGCAAGGAATACCCATGCAATACATGCGTGGGCTTTGGCTCAATGCCACGCAATTCGCTAACGAAATCGTTTTCAGTCCTAGAATCTCAATGTGGAACAAGATTTGGCGTGAGGGGTAAACTGATTTCATTTCTTGGTAACCCGTTGCAACTTATTGTAAAAGCAAAGAGGAACTCGAGCTGGCGCATATAGCGTACTCTTTAGAGGTGTTTTCAATACATACGGGATCAGTCACTCGTTCAAGCCCGTTCACCAGGCTTTCTGTCTATCCGGTTCAGCAAATGGCAAACAGGTTTGTCTAGGATGATAAACGCTGTCTTGGTGCATCAGTAAACCACCGCGAGCTCTTGTATAGAACAGATATGGGTCTTCTCCACAGTACTACGCATAGAGTCGTATATGTCGCATCACTTAGGGATCTTGTGACGCTAAACCCATTAATGTCTCCATTTGCTGCTACACAAAGCACACTGTGGTTTCGTCGTCTTAAAAAAATCTAGAGTAGTAAATGGACGATAATACAGGTAGTTAACGTAAGCTGCGAGCACGACAGCTTTATTTTGTGGATGTTTTCTATACACTATTTGTACATGTATTTGTATTGTACTGTACAAGTTCGTTTTCTGAGCTGGTATAATAAGGCATAGAAGAAGACGCTGCTACCTTTATCTGTTCTATTCAGCAGTGTTAAGTGATGATCTTTGTTTAGTATTTGCTATAACACCACATGACATTTCCATTCCATCTGTTCATTAGGTTTTCATTGCTGAGCCTCTCTAGTGAAAAGCACATAAAGAAATTTTTCAGCTCTAAATATGAAAGTTTGCATACTTTGTCGAAATCGTACATAATCCTTTCTATTAATCGTTGAACGATGGCACCTCTCATAACACCCAGGTGTTTGAAGCGTTCGTCGAAAAAAGAATGAGAGGAGGTAAGCTAGCACGAGAGTGATGAACAAGTTTATTTGGCTAACGTTTCGACATAGTTGTTTTAGCTCATGATTCCAGAAGACGGTCGTAGATGGCCCACAGTCGCTCGTGTTCTCGATGTGGCGCCTTCGCCGTTAAACCGAGACGGATCTTCTTTAAGGGTGTACTGCTCGAGTGAAGCGATCTCACCCGGCAGCACTGTTTTGGACAAGGCGGCTGTTGTTGGTAATGATCATCCGTCGATAATACTTTGCTTTTCAAAGGACGAATCATCCTGTAGCAGTCGGTATTAGGTTACCTAGAACATAGCAAAAAGCAAAACAACACTTTTCAAACCGACGGTCATTTAACTTTGCCGTTAATAATTAATACCTTCCTGAAAGAAGATTATGCTTATGCAGAAGATTATACAGTGAAGAAGATTCGATGCGTTACAGAGGAGAGGACGCATCATAGAGAAGACGAACTGCTTAAACACTCTAGACCACCTGTTCGGATCATCGGCTCTGAAGAAAGCGAACACGTAGAAACGTCTACCGAATCAACCGTTTATCAACTTCTTGCTAGCCTATCATTAGAAGAATACGTTTTATTAGTTATACCGAGGCTAAAGGAATGTTGATTTTCGAAACAATGAGAGGAAGTGTTTACTGTATAAATGGCATTCGAGTTTGAAATGCCAGATGCGTTCAAAAATGTTAGTATCAGTAAGCGTTCGGAGCAACGTTCTCATCATTTCTAAGCAGTTTTTTATCAACGTCAATCAAAACCAAACGTTTATCGGCATACTCTCTCTTCTTGATTGCATCTACGTCTTTTCAGTGTTTTCTCGAGCTGTCATTCCAGTGCATCATCAAGCAATCCTATCATTTTGATTTCAGTAAGGAAAAGGTGAGTTAATAATCACTGAAGGTTCGCAGAAACCAATTTTAAGCTCTGCTCTTAATGTCATCGAACATCTGACATCGACTCGGGAATGAGACTCTCCTATAACGAAATTTTATTCTGAAATAAATATTTTTAATGATATAGAGGTCAGAACCTGAAAAATATCCTTTTTCCTAATTTCTTAGTTTGTAGAGAAAAACAGACGAGAATAAAGCGCAGAGAACGAAAATCACTCGGAACGAGGTCAGACGTAGGAATATCGTGTAATGTCAGTGGAGCAATGTCATCTAAAGGACCTGCTCGTTAATGTAAGAGTCTTTATAAATATTCTTTATCGACAGGACAACACGAAGTTGATAGGATAAACTGTATTCGAACAATGTTTCGACGTATTCGCCTTTATTAAAGCCGATAATCCGATTCGATGGTCCACAGTCGTCCGTACTGTTGATGTGGCGTCCTCGTTGTCGTATTGAATCGAACCTCTTAGGAGGAGTAGCACTCAAATGAGGGAAACTCACCTACTAGCGCTCTTTTATACAGCACAATTGCAAATGCTCGTATTTTCCAGTGACAAAAGTTCCTTTTTCAACGGACAATCTATTCTGCCCCAGTCGGTACCATTTTCAGCTGGCAGAAACCGTAATAGTGCTTCAAAAGCACACCTTCTTTTTTAACCTCAGTATGAACCTAACCTTTATAAATACTTCATAAATTGCTTAAAAAATAAAATGACTCAAAAATAAATGAATAACATAAATATAAAGGGCAGCAGAATAGCTCGCTAGTGAACAGCGCCAAATGAACTGCATAACGGATAACCTAAAAGAATATGGTAATTACTCATGCACAGGATAAATCATGGCTAGTGTTTACGAAGTAATGCTTCGTTAAGTGCTAGTTGATACAATATTAAACACTGCAGTCTAAACCGTTTTCATGAATACATATCATTATTAGTGAACGATCAACAGCTGCTGTTCTGTGTAAGAGGTGCACTCCAGATTGAAGTTCTGATACCGGATGAACTCCACTCGAAAATATTCAACTCGATACGACTACGAAAGACCCATCTCGCAAGGACGAACAGCTGTGGGATAACTAACTCTGATAAAGGCTATGAAGAAGACGAAAACGACGAAGTGTTAACTGAATTAGACTTCTATAAAAATCCAGTGTCACGTTTATGTGTTCCTGGACCATCTGCTGGCCATCAAGGATGGACATCCACGCTCGCACGAATGTTGGGACTATCCATGCTCTTGCAGAATCAGTATATTCAATGTCAGAAGAGGGAAATTTATGATGAAAAGTGTGTAGCAGGATGTGAAATGCCGACTAACAAAGAAATGATATAGGACAAAACGATCAGCATTAATCTATCCTTTTGGGATTTGTCATTAACTCGATCTCATTAACCAAGGCAGAGGTGATGTAAT